AGCCACAAAAGTAAAAAGTGAAGGCCTTTACGAACAGGGCTGACATTTGCTGTGCTCACTGGCACCGGGTGAGCCTGCAGAACCAAACAGATCAAGCCTCTGCTGCACTGATACTGCATCTGACTTTCATTGAGCTGAGCAGTCAGCAGTGCTACCCAAAGGATGGAGACTGCAGCACGCAGAAAAGCTCCGGTTTGTGTGGCACAGAGTTTAATTAACTGAGAGGTCTTGGCCCCATATAATCCTCCAGGATAATGAAAAGGGCCCAGTTCAGGCTGATGCAGCTGCAACCAGAATTCACCCTGCTAGTAAGCTACCAAGGGGTGCATCCACTCATCACAGCACCAGCCAACAGCTGCCCCACTCAGCCCCAGATGCTCATTTCAGCTTCACCCGCACCTACAAATGGATGAGAACAGTGGCACCAAGCCCCAGCATGGCCTCTGAGATCACACAGCACTTGCGGAGATTGCCTGCCATAGAAACACAGACCCACAGAACGGTCTAGGTTGAAAAGGACCGTAACAATCACCTACGTTCAACCCCCCCTGCTATGTGCAGGGTCACCAGCCATCAGACCAGGCTGCCCAGAGCCACGTCCAGCCTGGGTGTGCCTGCCTGGCACACGAAGCTGCACCTGGCTTTCAGGGGATAAATACGGCACCCCATCGGACCTCTCATCACTGGAAGACAATTCCAACCCAGAAGCCACAATGCCGTGCTCTTTCATCCCGTGCCACCCTAGGATATTACTTCCCTCGTCAGCTCATGTGGTACAGCCACCATCACTGGCTCTGCATCCAAAACAAAAAAACGATCGCAGCTCGGCTCAGGTCGTGCCCGTGATGCCGGTGCAGCGGGATCGCCTGCTGCCCAGCATCGCGGCACAGCGAGCTGCCTCGCAGCGCTGGGCCGGGCTGACATTCAGCACCGCACAGTGCCCTCCAACGGCCGGCCCGCAGCACCAGCCTCGGGGCCACGGAGAGCCCGCATCCCCTCGGGCAGGGGCTGGGGCTGGGAGAACAGCAGCCGATGCGTCTCGCTATTGTGCCGCTGCTGGTGCGCAGGCAGGGCCGTGCACTCGCGGAATGCTTCCTTATCTGTACTTCTTAATCGTCATTTCAAGCTCTACGTGCCGGCAATCCAATGCACTTGGAGTCTAAAAGACCAATTCAGGAGGGTTTTGCTTTTCGTTCTAAAAAGTAAACGCAAAACAGTGAGAAAGGCAAAAATATTGAGGATTGCTGATTACCACCAATCAACGCCACTGCTGCGCCCAAAGAGGACCCTCCTCACTCTGATGAAAAAAAACTGATGAGCTCAGAGCAGCAGCAGCACAACGCTGCTATTCAACAACAGAGCAGCTCCTCTGGATGGGGACCATGGGGCACAGCACTGATGGCACTGCAGAGCAATGCCAGCACACACTGCCTGTGATCCCATTCAGCCACGGTGGACAGATTCCTCCCCACACAACTTCTCCCCACACACAACTCCTTGCCACGCTCATTTCAAGTAACGTATGGTTAAGAAATGTATGGCTCGACCATCAGGCAAACCTGCAGGAATGCAGTGCTGAGCTCCACCAACTCTGCTTTGTCAGGAAATCAAGCAGAGAAAACACAGCCGCTTTTTCGTCACTGATCAATCCAGTTAATGGGTAACCCGTGCCATAACATGCTCCTTCCAAAGCCCTCGTGGCCCATCCCACGGCTGGGTGTCAACAACAAGGGTGGCAAACACCCCCGGGGACACCATCCCATGGCAGCAAAGCCACTGAGAACACGTGAGTGTATGACACACACACACACACACACCCCACAGCCACAGCATTACCACGGCAGGTCTGTTCAAGTCACAGAAGCTGAATGGAACTCACAAGCAGAAGAGCACTGGAACTGCGGAGAGCAGTCAGTAGGAATGTCTTCGCTCCTACCATGATAGAAAGGACACAGGGAGGAGACAAGATGTTATTTTCTTTCACGCGTGCAAAAGTTACAATGAAAAAATACTTTCCTCAAGGTTCTTTTCTGAGGATGCATTATTTATTCAACTGCATTTTCAACTAAATTTCTTCTCCAAAGAGCGGTGATGCAGTGGCACAGCTGCCTGGGGAGGGGTGGAGTCCCCATCCGTGGAGGTGTTCACCTGGGGACGTGGTCAGTGGGCAGTGACATGAGCAGGGCTTGAAGGTCTTCTCCAGCCTTAACAATCCCACGAGCTGAATGGTCCTGATGCATTCAGTGTCTCAGGACCTCCCTACACAGTGCTAGAAGCTGGGACAATTTCTGGTGCCTCTGCACACCAACTCAGCCAATGCTTCAGTACGTGCTTGCCTTCAAACATGCCAAGTCCTGCTGACACGTATGTCTATTTATGTGGAAATTAAGCCTTTGCTTAATTATTTGTAAGAGATGTTGGCATTTTATGGGAAGCATATCAAGCCAGTCTACCCCACATTTAAGCATCTGCTTTTCCAAAAAGAGAATACTTGGACAGGTAGCCTGGTATTTATAAAAAAAGTAGTCTTAGCATTTGTAAACAAACTACATAAAGCACAAAGTATAGAAGGGAACAACAAATTATATTTCAGACTGAGGTATGGATAAAGAAAAATGAATGACTCTGCACATGGCTTGACCCCCCAAGACAAGCAAAGAGATCTTGCTTTTCAGAACAGATGTGGCCAAGCTAATGGGCAGCCCTTAGCCTCTGCAGCCCAGAACACACGTGTGGCTCGGCTGCTCTGCATGCACCTGCAGGAGCTTGCAGCCAACCCTAGGAGGTTCTCCTACCCCGGGGCTCTGCGTCCCAGCGATGGCTCTGCTGGGCTGCACAGCACCGCCTCTGCTCCCCCTGCCTCCCCTCACACTTTTTCCTCTTTCACCTATTATCCTCTGTGGCTTCTTCTCATGTTTTTAGAGTAGCACTGCCCAACTCTGCCCACCTACAGCAGCACAGAGAGCCAACTCTTGGTGCACGGGCAGAGAGAGATGGGGCGACCCACAGCCATCGCTGCACTGGGACATCACAGCAGAGCCGAGGAGGGAGGCGGGGAGCAGAGGTGTTAGTGACAGAGGCACAGCTGCAGCCGGACCCGAGCAGCACATTCTCAGACACCCATTTGGCGGTTGTGCTCCCAGGTTTCCAAGTTCCCAACTCGCCGACAGCATCCCGCACCCATCCCCAGCGATGCATTCCAGGATCCCGCGTCGGAGACCCCGCGTTCTCCTCTCTCCGCCTTCACCTCACACACAGTATCTCAAATCACGCGGCTCCCATGGCCGCACGGAGCCCAAGCCCTCTCCAAACGCCCACCCGCCCACCCCAGCCGGGGAGCTTCACTTCCACCGGCACCCAGCGTGCCACCATCCCCACGGCCATCCGCGCCGGGCGCAGCTCCAACAGGACAGCGCGCAGCCGGGCAGCGCCCGCAGCCGACAGGTTTTTGCGGAGCCCCAGCCCCGCGGCAGCGCCCGGCAGCCCCGCTCTCAGCCCAGCCGGGCCGCCGTGCCGCTCCCGTCGCCGCTCGGTTTCGCCGCGGATCGCCCGTTCCCTGCCGGCCCGGGGACACCGACGCGAAACCGCGCGTTGACCGCGATGTTTAGCGCTCACGCCGGACACACGGCACGCTTTGTTCGTGCGCCTTCAGCCCGGCAGCGGCGAAGTCGGGCCGTGGAGCTGCCTCCGACCCCCGAGCGGCCGCGGAACCCCTCCGCTTCGCAGCGCAGCGCCCACGGGCAGCGCTTCTTGGGGTGCGGATTGGACACCGCGGGAGCGCGCAGTGGCGCGGCCCCACCAGGTGCCGCATGGCATCGGGTACGGGTACGGGTACGGGTACGACCCTGCGGGGCGAGCAGCGGCCCCGGCACCG